CAGAGAAGCAATCAAAGAGTACACACCTGGCTGCCATTTTTCATTCCTATGGTTGAGAACAGTCTTGGACAAAAGGGCAATGATTCATAACTAGAAAAGCTTTACCATTTCTACTCAAATGGTCTCCAAGCAAACTTTAGAAGATATGATATGATCTTATGTGGTAACATTTTCCATTTTTTTCAGTGAAATTCATTTTTATATTTTCAAATTATGGTATACAGTAGTAGAAATGATAAAGCCCCTGGTTCTGAAAGAAATTTGTGCTGCTAGTTCTTACTGTAGGATAAAAAATGGAAAGGTGAGGAGTGAAAGGTAATATGATCAATGGCAAAGATAAGAAATGCATGACTATTTGGAGAACAGCTTGGCAAGCACACTCGTGTTGGTATGAGGAAGTCCTAAACAGGGTGAGCAAACGACATTTGTAGAATATACTCAATAACAAAAAGGAACAGGAGAGACTGCAGGGAAGACAAATTTGTGATACCTCTAAGTTGCTTTCTAGTTTTAAACTGTATTCTCATATATTTTTATTTCAAATATGGTGAAATTTTACATTTTACCAGATGTAAAATAGACAAGAAATATGAGGCTCAGAGACTGACTGTGACTATCACCCAGCTGGTGACCGGGAGCTTGGACTAGACTTGTGGTCTTTCTTGAGCTTTGCTCTCTTTCCACTACACTTCATGCCCTGTCAACTAACAGGACATAAAGGAAAGACTACTTTGAGAAATCTATTCTGAAAAAAGGATTGGATGGGAAGGAACTAAGAGAGAAAGCTGCTGAATACAGGCTGCAGGTGCGCCCATGCTAAGGACTACACGTGAGTTGGTGGCTGACCTGAGGCGGTACAAGAAAAGATAGAACTGGATCGATAACTTGAGTAGAGTGAAGAAGGCAATGGATTTGAAGACACCTTTAAAATTCCCAAACAACTTGATACAAATGGTGCCATTGCAGAGGGAAAAGTATTTATGAGAGGAGGGAGCTAATGAGTTCAGTTCTGGTACCAGATTCTTATATTTGAGAAAAGAGCAATATAAATAGAGTGAAATGATTGTAATAATTAGAAATACAGGTTTATTACATTGGAACTGAGACTTAAATTTGAAAGGAATAGACAGTATTTCAATTCATTAACTATTTTTCAAATCATTATTTTTAAAAGATAAATAGGTCACATAAGAAAAAAATGGCAAATAATAAAAGGTAATCCCTTTTGAAAATCATTGAGTTTTCTTAACCTTTCAACATATTTCAAAATTCAAATTCCAGTTTAGCTTTGTCTTAATTCAAACAGTTTGTGTCTACAGTGCTCAATCTGAGATTTAAGCAACAAGTTTATCTCCCCCTCCATCCCTCCAAAAGTTTTGTTCTTCTCCAGCTGTCTTCCAGCTACACAAAGGCTAAATCTTTTTTCAGTTTGAATTGAGGGAGAGTTTCAGAGACACATTTGACAGACCATCTTCATCTGGATTTTAATTAGGCATTGTGCAAAACACTGCCTGGTATTTATATCAATGATTAGTGCATGTCAAAAAAAACCCCAAAAAACTAGAGGCCAAAAACCAAATCAAAAGTTACAACTTCAGGTTTGAAAAAAAAAAAAAGTCCTGACAAGTTAAAAAAATTAATACTAAAAAATGAAATTTACTTTCAGGAAAGTATAGTGCTGAAACAAATGTAGAGCAAACAATAAAAGTCATATTGGACTCACAACAAGAACTATTGAGAGCAGAGTAGTGAGGAAAGTTAGCTATTAACTCAAACTGTTCTAGAAGCAGTAGACTCTCCTTTCACACACAGGACAGGGTGACAGTGCATGGAGAGGTAGAAAAATGAAGAGAAGCAAAGTAATATAAAATGGACAACACAAAACGGAAGGAGTGAAGCAGGAATTCTCTTGAATTATAAAGGCTACAGTAATATTGAAAAAGATCTAAGAGAATGCCTGCTGCTTCTTCCTTCCAAGTCAGCAACTTCACAAAAAGAATGGGCAGAAGTTCCTTTTGTGATCAAGGTGATAATTCAAGTCCTTATCAGAGCATTCTTATCTAGGACAGAAGCCACCTGGGCCACTGATACCATCAGGAGTACCACAGCCCAACTATCCACAAAATGGCCACAATTTCTCACATATCCTTTTATCTCCAGCTTTTACAGAACTTCAGGTCTCTTACCAAGAGGTGAATGAATTCTATTCCCCACTCTTTTACTCTGGTCTGCCCTGTTGATTAACTTTGGCCAACACAGCACAGCAGGAGTGTGATTAGTGACTTGCTGAGACTAAGCCTCAAGATATCTTGAGCTCTGTTTTCTCTCTTTGGCTCCTATCATTCCCATTAGAAGCCAGGCTAAAGGATCAAACAGCAAGATGAGAGCACAGCCCCATCATTGATCTATCCATCTACCCCAGGTCCAGCTAACCCCAAAAGCAGAACCATCGAGCAAGCTGCAGCCCACCATGGAATGCAGCAAAGATCAAAAACACCCAGCTATGTTTACCTAATTCTAAGATAATGAGAAAATAAATGGCTGTTGTTTCAGCTACAAATTTTTTTTTTTCATTTTTCTTTTATTATTCATATGTGCATACAAAGCTTGGTTCATTTCTCCCCCCTGCCCCCACCCCTCCCTTACCACCCACTCCACCCCTCCCTCTCCCGACCCCCTCAATACCCAGCAGAAACTATTTTGCCCTTATTTCTAATTTTGTTGTAGAGAGAGTATAAGCAAGAATAGGAAGAACAAGGTTTTGCTGGTTGAGATAAGGATAGCTATACAGGCATTGACTCACATTGATTTCCTGTCGTGGGTGTTACCTTCCAGGTTAATTCTTTTTGATCTAACCTTTTCTCTAGTACCTGTTCCCCTTTTCCTATTGGCCTCAGTTGCTTTAAGGTATCTGCTTTAGTTTCTCTGCGTTAAGGGCAACAAATGCTATCAGCTACCAAATTTTTGATGGTCTGTTGCATAGCCACAGGTAACAAACACAACTCACTCAAGTGTACCAACCACCTCAGAAATGCAGCAATACCATTTCCTATTGGAGTAGCCTGACCCATCTGTACTAGGCAGGTTAAGAAACCCAAGGTTCTGTAACCAAAGCCTGGGAAGACATTAGGCTTCTTCTTTTTTATTTTTTAAAGTTCCTTACTCCCAGGAACTTAAGGGTGCTCCACCCAAAATGAATAAATGGGTATCTTCATGCTTTCCATAGGAATTTAAAATCTACTGATCTCAAACCCATCACGTATATCATCTTACACTTAAGTAGCATTCTATAGTTTATGCACTTTACATATATCATTCTCAAATAAAACAAACAAACAAAAAAATCTATGGAACACTACCAAAGAGGTATCATTATGCTCATTTTAAAAGTGATAAAATTAAGTGGAAGTGCAAGTTAAATGACATTCACAGTAGCAAATGGCAAAGCTACAAGATTTATGACTACACCTAAACTGTCACTACTCCCTTTTCTTAGAGCTCTTGTGCTGAAATCTCAGTATTGGCATGATTTTTTTTAAAACACACTGAGTTAATTAAATTGATGAGATAACATTTCACTTCTCATAAAAGTAGAGACAAGGTGAGTTTTTTGAGGGGCAAATCAGTAATATATGTCAGGTACACAGTTCAAAATCTAGTGTATAAGTTAAGCCCCTGATCCACCCACCACCACAGGGTTTTCTCCCAGGTTGTTAACTTCTACCCTTTAGAGCTTTGAGCATCACTTGAAATGACAGGATAGGCAAATTCATTTCTATGGTAGAAGCATTTATTGTAGTCATAGAAAAATAACACTATTTCAAAATCAGGGTTAAGTAAGCAGAAGTATATTTTTCCTTTCCATACCCATACTCAACATGATTTCAAGTCATTTTTAAATTAATAGGGAACAAACACAGAATCAAGGTAGTATGTCAATAGAAGAGGAAATGTATTAAAGCTACATATCAGCCCTGGAAATCAGAAAACAAAAAGTGAACTCGTGCAGCTATTTTCAATTTCAGTGTGCCAGAAGGATCACCTGGACTGGGGAAAAACCACTGTCAGCAAACTGAAGGCAAGTCATCAGGTTGAGCAGGCCTTTGGTTTCGGAATTCCAAAGGACTGAAAACACAAAAGTGTTCCTCCAAGGAGGCATCAAGACAACATACACTGCAATATAAAAGATCAGCCATTTACTCATTATGCGAAATCTCTGAGCTTGAAATTCAGGAATAACAACAGCTACTACTCTCAAGAACTGTTGTACAGTTTATGACAAACAGTATATAATTACTTCCCCCATCCATAACACAGAGCTACTACCATTATTTCAACATCACCATTATTATTTGATACAGAGGACACTCTCCCCCACCTCCCACTCCCAAATAGCTATTTTTATTTTAAAAGTCAACCAACCATTCACTGTTATAAGCTCATGGACTACTAGTGCCATCTTTACTAGCTTCTGTCATTCTCTTACAGAAGATTTCAGTATATGACTGAAATCATATGAGGTTTTGTATTCAAGCTAAGACAACAGATTCAACAAAGGGAACTAGAGCTTCCAAATTGTGTGTTGCTTCTAAAACATCAATAGATGAATTAACTGCTTTTAGAAGTGACCCATTTTAGACAATCTCAGATGCTCCCTGTATTGTTACATGAATTTCAAGCTATTTATAGATGGAACATGGGAATAAAGTACCTAGCATCTTCATAACTTCCTACATTCAATATACTACACAGTAATATTTCATAGTTAAAAGTTTTGTGGCCATTTAAGTATCTATGCACATATCTGCGGTTTTAATATTCTAAAACTGTAAAACATAGCTATAGAGGTGCACAGTTAGGCTAGAATAGTGTTTCTCAAACTCAGCACTAATGACACTTTGGTTGGGTAATTCTTTACTGTGACGGGGGTGACCATGTGGTACGTGATGTTTAGCAGCAACAGTGGCAACTATATGCTAGATGCCAGTCACAATCCACCCTCCTCAACCCACTTTTGGCAACCAAATATGTCTCCAGACAGCGCCAAATGTCTTCTGGGGGTCAAAATCAACCCCACATGAGAACCACTGGACTAGAATGTTACAAAGACAGAATTGTAAACTCTGGGGTACAGATAATACAAGACGCTAATCAATAGCACTAATGTAAGAGCCTAGCACAATAATCTTCTGCAGTTACGTTTATGCAAGGGCACAGAGCATTTATATTATATACTACATAAGCATACAGTTACCCACATATATCTTTTTCCTACTGGAAACACTGACATTAGACTGGAAAAGAAACTAAAAAGAAAAAAAACATAGATAATCCAGCCAACCACCTTATATCACCTGAAACCAGAAACAACTACAGTTTACAAACATTTGCTAAATGGAGACCTAAAAAGGTCACTGCAAATGTCCTTCTTCTGAATTCGAAGTCTCTCTTTCTCCACTTGTAAGCGTTCCTTTTCAATCTGCAGCTTTTCTGATTCAAACTTCAAAAATTGCAGCCTATCTTTTTCCAGCTGCAAGCGCTCTCGCTCAAGTTTCAACTTCTCTGTTTCTATGTCCTGTGGCTGAAGTACAGACTTTTCACCTTGGCCAAGTTCATTTTCCAGAGATGGTTTTTCAGAACTAACTATCTGTAGCCTGAGCTTCTCTCTCTCAATCTGGAGCCGTTCCTTCTCCAGCTGCAGCCGCTCGTGCTCCAAATCTAAATGTCGCAGCCTCTCTTTCTCTATCTGCAGGCGTTCCTTTTCTACCTGCAGTCTTTCTGCCTCAATATCCAGTCGTCGTTTTTCCAACTCAAGTTTCTGTTTCTCTATGTTTACAAGTAAATGGGGCTCATCATATGCAGATCTAGAAGGTGTTGAGTTGAGGGTGAAAAACTCATCAATGTGGGGAAAATCCGGAAGCTCATTTTCCCTTCTGGAATCTGGTATGACAGATGACAACATTTCTTCCTCCTCCTCAATCTCAAACTAAGAGAAAAGAGCAAAGTGACATTTAGTATTACTTCTACTTCGTGGATGTCAATTTGTCCAAATATCTCTTAAAGGCTTCTGTATTGTTTCAACACATAAAACCATTTAATTTGAACTGCAAGAAACACATACATGAATTACCTGATGTCACCAACGTATATAATCAAGAAATTAAATTTAGGTGTAAAGAGAAAACAAACAGAATGATCTTGTTATGTGTAAACTTTAAGTAAGCTTGAAAATCTGAGAACTCAACTATGACTGGATTATAAACTCCCACATTAGCATTGTCACAGGCTAATACTTACTTCAGGACTCTGGGAATCCCTTTCTTCCTCTTCCACTTTGACCTCTGTTAAGGATCCACCTGCATCCCTGAAATCTGCCACATTCTGCCAGTCAAAATTTGCATCATTTCGGAATGCAATCTTCTCATCTATCTCTTCAGTGAGCGAGTCATCTAAATCAGATGTGGGAAGGGGGTACCCTGAACCAACCAGTTTAATGTTTGCCTTCATTCTCTTTCTCTTCATAAGTGCTCGCCAGTCAAGGTATCTCCTTTTCACTTCTGTCCCTGTCCTCTGTTCCCCTTCTCCTACGGCATTCACACACTGTGCAATCTCCTCCCATGCCATTCGCTTCATCACATTTATTGTTGTGTTGAGCTGCTTAGAAAAAATGACTTCTTTCCTTTTGGTAATTTCTTTCAAAAGGGTCTGAGTTTCTTGAACACTAAAATTACTTTTCCTTTTTCTTTTCAACTGCTTCATTTTTTAAAAGTTGCTGTAGAAGACGTGCAAAGAACTTGAAGAGTGCTACAAGGCACAAAACCAAGGACAACCCCTTGCTGGCACTTAGTTCAATCACTGCTGTCTACTCATCCACTTGTGGGAGCAGGCTGGACAATTCCTAAAGGAAAAAGCAGAATAAGATCAATCAACCTGCAGCTTGTGTATATACTTCAACCCAACAAGTCATATAATTTTAAAAAGAAAGAAAAAAATGTTCTACATATGACTCAAAATTGGTGACATCTGTCTTTATCAGTGCCAGATGGCAGAATCCAAGCTGCCATCTCCTCTTACCTGGGATGCTGTAATAGTGACTCGGTTGGCCTACTCCCTATTGCTCCGGCTCCTTCTCCCACTGATTCACCCCAAGTTCTCCTACACCAGCCCTCTTCAATCACCAATTCCTGTCAAGCTCTTTTCGCTGTTCATACTATACTCTGCCAAGAAAGTGGATTGCTCCCTCCCTGGCCTACTCACTTCCTCCTCATCCTTCAACTCACACATTAAATATCTGTTTCTCAGCAAAGCCTTTCCTTAAAAAGTCAAGTATTCCTAGTCAAAACTGTACACTTGTGCTAACACATAGTTGCACTTCACCAAAAGTTCCACTGTGAGGACAGGGATGTTCTGCTCACCACCCTCTTTCCCCAAAGCCTTGCAGACTTTCTGGTACATGGCAAGCACACCATAAATATATGCTGAATGAATGTGTCAATTTGAGAAAATGAAAGATCATCTTGTAAGCATTTCTTTTAGAAACAGAATGTTTCTCTAATTTCCAGATGATGCTTATACTGTAAGGTCATCAAAGATGGTATCTGAAACTTGTTAGGAAGGTTGTGTTCAGAAACTGTTGGGGGTAGGACCTAGCAATCTGGGTTTCAAAAACACTCTAGATAACTGTAATGTATGCTAACATTTGGGTATCCCCGTGCTAGGCCCACATCAACAAACAGATGCTTCATGCATTGCACCTTGATTCCAAGTCTCACACAAGTGCATCTGGTTGATGGAATACATAACACAACGAAACCTTCATTATGACAGAACTTGGAAATGTTTTTCATCAATCCAGACTTTGCATTACAGGGACATATATTGGGGGGGGGGGAAGGGGATTTGAACAAATGATTTCCAAGACAGCAACTCCATTTTCTCCTCAAGGCAGAAAATGAGATCATTTACTGGAAAGGTCCCCGTGTCTCTGATAGTGTAGCACATGATGTTTTATAAATATTGGCTCAACTGAAGAGAAAACTGGGATAGAGGGTAGAAAATCTCTTTTACTTGGAAAAGAGACTTTAAAAATATGTAATAGGAAAAAAGGGCTCAAAACAAGTATAGATAAGTCATGTTTTCTGACTTCAAATTCACTCAATGATCATCGTTACAGACTGGCTTTTCCTCATTACAAAATGAGAGGAGGGAATGAGATTACTGAAGTCCTCTGCAGTTCTATCACTGTCTGACTATACACTCTTCCTGCCAAGAAGAAAAAATACCAAATTAGCCATAAATTCCAGTCCTGTCATTTTTCTCAAACACAGACCAATATTGGTGATACCAACATTTCTATTAATAAAAGAAGACTGAGAGATTAATCTTCAAACAACATGGCTAGTTAAATGACAGGACGTACATCCTGGCTCCCTCATGGCATAGCTAATTCAACTTTATTAGCAGTGTGTGACAGCTAAATCTTTAAAATGTTGCTAAGATAACTTTCGAGATACTATCTAGTAGAATTTCAAAAGGAGCAGATTCTGATCTACGTGGAAGGTTCAGATAAAATCCTATATATGGGCAAAAACTCCTCAAAGCTTCAACCAGTTACATTACCCCTATCACATGTAAAAAAAATTAACATACAGTCCAGGCCTGAAGAGTCCCTGAACAGACAAAAACAGACTTCATAAATGATCTTAGCCTGTTTGAGCTGCAAACAGAAGCAAAATGACTTTGTCTATTTCTTGTAAACACCATATGAAAGAAAAATGAGACTTAAGGCCAACCAATCAGAAGCAATCACCTATTTATAGTTACATAACTAGGGAGTTCCAGCATGATAGGCAGACAACTATATAAGTATAAACCATCAAATATTTCCTTTGCTTTACTTCCATCTTCATCCCATAAAAGCCTTCTCCTTGAAGTCTCTCAGCAAGATCCCTGAAGCCCTTCTAGTTTGGAACTGATTTCATCAATCACTGCTTCCTCAAACAAACTCTTTAAAATTTTATTGTGCCACAGTTTTCCTTGTAACATACATTTCTCCTATCTTAAATTCTTTAATGTCTGTCAATTTAGTGTGAAAAATAGGTCTTAGGCATTTTGAAATACAAGTAGTATTTTTAACTGTTGTAAAAATACATCAACTAGGCAAGGCTAAATTTAATCAGAAAATACACAAAAACTATTTTCAACTATTGTTTGAGCCTTCTCTCTTTGAGTTAAAAGTGGGTGCCAGTTTCTTATTTTTAAACTTTAATAACAGCATTTTAATGACCATTTCAGTAAACTTTTGTTCAGTTTTTTTGTCTTTTCTAGCTGCAGTAACCTTTGTTCAACGGGCTTTGTATAAAAATATGTCCATCACCATATTGCCTTGTTTCCGCTCACTCATGTGGAATAACCATCTCCTGAGAGGCCACTTGCTGCCGAAATAGGTCAGAAAGAATGAAATGTTCTGAACACAGAAAATGAACTCAAAAAACTCACTGTCAGTCTCACAGTCACATACAAATGGAGCACAGTATGTGAAACAAAAAGGATCACAAGCAAACTATTTCTAAAGCAGACCTTCGAAATTTCTCAAGACATTTCATGATACGTTGAAATCCACTAAAGTGGAATATGGCAGCAAGCTTGATATTATACTGGGGATAAACTGCCCTGAAAGCAGAATGTAAGCCTTTTGTGACTAGAACATAGGGAAAGTATTTATAAATTAAGACACCATTAAGAAAGACAGTGTGTAAGGGCTGCATGTGGTGGTGCACACCTGTAATCCCAGCTGTTTGGGAAGTGGAGATGGGAGGATCAAGGTTTGAGGCAAGGCCAGCTCCAGGCAAAACATAAAATTCTATCTGAAAAATAACTAAATTGGGGTCTAAGTGGTAGAGTGCCTGCTAACCAAGTGTGATGCCCTAACCCCAGTACCAAAGGGGGAAGGGGGCAGAGGCACAATGTGTAGTGGTTATGAGCAAATTCTGGAATTAGATAACCTGGGTTAGAGCCTGGATCTACCATTTCCTAACTGTGTCAGTAGTTACTTAAAGTCCCTGTGTGCAAAATGATTTAACGCTACTAATAGAGATACTGTAAGAAATAAAGATTTAGTGAACTACATAGACTCGTACTTGCTGTACACTAAGCACTGTTAAGTGTTTGCTGTTATTACATCAGAGACAAAATCTAAATAATTTCGACAACAGGAATCACAAATCATAATAACACTGGTATCGTTCTACTTGGGTTGGGTGGTAGGTCTGTGGGCATCACTATTACTCTTTGTAACATATATGCTCCGTTACGGGGCCTGCTCGTGAGAGCTCACAATCTCTCTGGCTTCTTTCCAGGAACATCATGTTAGGAGCTAAAAATCAACCAGGTTGGCAGTACTTACTCCACAGCATAGAAAATTGTAGTGCTAGAAATGCTACAAATGTGGAGATCAGCCCAGGCGAAGTTAGCAAGACCCTATCAAAAAAACAACAAAACAAAAAGGCTGGGGCGTAGCTCAAGTGACAGAGCTCTACTGAGCCCTGGGTACAATCTCCAGTATTAAAAAGAAAAAAACAAAAAGGAATGCTCCAAATTCAGACTTCTTTTAGGACTGGGAATTGGTTTATTAGAACACTACCGCCCCATTATCTTTACATATATCAAATAATACTGAGTAAAAACTTTCTTCTGCCATTTGTCCCACCACTGAGGAACTAGGAGAAGATAGTTCTGCCTGCTCCAAACACAGTATCTTCAATACATGGCACTGTGCTTAACAAATAGGAAGTAAGAAATATAAAATTAAAAGGAAGTGATTATGGAATGGGACAGGAGATAGAAAGAGAAAAACAAAATAATGTGAAAAAGGATAAGTCAAGAAAACTGAAATTTCTGTGGGCACTCAAACCATGTTTACAAGAAAGGCACAATCCAAAACAATAGAGGAAAGAAGCAGTTTAAGAGAGTAAGTGAAGGCATTAGATTAACTACTCATCTAATACCATGCCTATTATTGTGTAACAGGTACCAATTAGTAGGTTAGACAAAATTCTGAAAAAAATGTTTCAGCAAACAGGCCACATTGTTACTTAAGCAATATCTACCAATGGTAAACAGTTTATCAAAGACATTTTTTAAAATGGAATCAGTGATTAGATGTCCTTAAAAATGGGAACAAGTAGGTAAAGTGACATCAAATTACATATCAAATCAAATACAATATAAGGAAACTTTCTGTTTCCAAAAGAAGGTTCCAGAGCATTTAAATGGCTTTTTAAACCATTTAAAAGCCACTATCATATTTATATATACACACAACATAGTGAAAACCTGTTATTAAAAAAATAATAAAATTAAAATGTGTACAGAAAGACAAGGAGGAGTACAAAGGCAATTTTTTTTCAGAGATCATTAAGGAAAGACTTCCTCTGCTTACAATGTAGAAAAAGCGGGTTTATTTTTGAGAAAATATGAGTAACAGAATGTTACATCAGATGCCAAAAGAGTATGTCTAGTTGTATGGACGAACTCCTACCGCTTGGGACAGCTTGGAAACACATCAAAGGAAGACAAGCAAAGTCAGTTTAGATTTATGAAAACATGGACAGCTCTCTCCAGAGAACCAAACATTCTCATATGTAGAATGTCTTTAGACATCTACCTATATCTTTATCAGAAAGACCTGTAACTGAATTAAGAGCATAAGGCTGCACTATCCATTATCAGAGTGAGTCATTAAAAACATTGCTCCATTCCATGCATACTGAGAGCTTAAAAACCTTTTAAAGGCTGCCCACACTACTCTGAAGTTTACTGCCTGATCTTCCTCTCTTTCTGTTATAAACACAATTATAGAGTCCTACCTGTATCCCATCTTTTCCAATCTTATTCATACCTCCAATACCACCTCCCCAAACTAGTCTCCCATCCCTCTCTCTCCATGCACAGGTGCACACAAAAACAACAATTATAATGAAATTCCTCTAAATTCTAGAACTGTGTTGTCCAATAGAAATATGTGGGCTGTACATATAACTTTAAATCCTCTAGTGGCCTTCTTAAAACAGAGAAGCAAAAATGAATACTGTATTTAACCTAATATATCCTAAATGTTATCATTTTAATATGTAATCAATTTAAGCAATTTATTGAGGTATTTACATTCTTTTTTATATTAAATTTTCAAATTCCAGTGAAAACTTTATATTTTGAATCTTACATCTCAATTTGGACTAGCGACATTTCATGTGCTCAGGAGCAACGCACAGCTATTGGCTGCTTGTCTGGATAGCACAGCTCCAGCTGACATGAATAGGACTGTCACCCACTCTAACTCATCTTCCCAATTCCTGTGCTGTCTACCCTTTTCTCTTGCCAATGTCTACTCACCCTTCATTGCTGGATCTAAAAGTCCTCTGTTCCAGGACCCCTTCACTGTTCCCAGTCACCTAAATCCCATGACCTTGCTGTGTACTTCCACCATCAGGTTGTATTACAATCAGTTCTTTTACATTAGGAACAACAAGGGATCAAAGATTAATATATTACTACTGGTATAAAGTAATTTCTAGCTCACTAAAACACAGGTGCATGAAAAAAGTGTACATGATCTGGGTGCCCTTGGCTCATGCCTGTAATCCTAGCTACTCAGGAGGATCATGGTTTGGCCCTGCCCAGGCAAATATCATGAGACCCTATCTAGAAAATACCCAACACAAAAACGGTCTGGTGTAGTGGCTCAAGTGGTAGAGCACCTGTCTAGCAAGCATGAAGCCGAGTTCAAACCCCAGTACCACCAAAAAAAACGCACATGAAAAATTGTAATGGAGTTTGTAAGCAGAAGACTGAGAATACAAACTACCTAGGCTTATACACCAATTACAACACTTACTAGCTCTGTGATCTCCAGAAAATTAACCTTTTATACTTGTTTACTCATTGATAAATGAGAAAAATAACAGAATAACACTCATAATGTTCAGGATTAAAAGAGGTAATCTAATTGACTCTATAACTAGGATGGAGTAAGTCCAAATTAAACGCTGCTGCTATCCATTACCTCTTAGTACAGTGTCTGGACAATTAATGCTAACATCTGAAGAGTATAATAAAGAAGTACTAACAAGATATCCTCAGTATCCAGAAGGAAAAATCTCTGATGAGATCAGAAAATGTTTTGAGAAGGAATTACCATTTGAAATAGGTTTGTGCATCAAACAGGCTAATGAGGGACAGAACTAAAAGGAAGAAGTACTTAGAGGAGCTAGAAAACTAGGCTGAGGCCAAATATCGCCAGTCTTTAATACTGGCTTGGTAAGACACTATACTTTGCTTAGAAAATGTACTGAAAAAGATAAATATAACTGTGAAAGTTCATATACATTTCTGAAATGCAAGAAGGTTATCTTACATGTGGAGGCACTGTTGCTATAATAATATATAACAAAATACATGATGAAATAAACAATGACTGAAGTTGTCAAGAGGATCTTAATTTATGCAGGTATCTATCATCAGATTTTGCTGCTCTTAGAATCCAAGCTCAATTTAGTAATTGGATTGTTGTAAATTTATTGATACATGGCAGAAATAGCAGTCCTTTTTAAGCTACCCTGGGAAATAAATTTATAAAACTTGACAGTCATTGTTGGCAATTACATGGTCTATTTTTTCCCAACAATTCCTAACTCCATACTTAGAGCTTGCAAAGTAGTGTCCCTTTGGCCCCAACTGATCTGTGCTGAGCTCATGAACTATTTCATGGATAAAATGCACTGGAGAGCATTTTCTAATTTCAACGAAATTGATATTTGGAACACCTTGGATTTCCTGTCCATCTTGCCTGAAACCTTGACCTTTTCTAAGGACAAGAAAGTGCCAGCATCAATGCATGCTGAGTTGCTAAAATCTGGTCACCAGACATACAGGGATAAAAAACTCTTTTTTGGAGGAATATTTGTCTTTCTGTCCTCTCTGAATAGTCTGGTACCCATGTAACAGGAGCTTGGGTTTTCTGCCATCCATTCACCCAATAATTTCCTAAAACATTTAGTATACTCCTCCTACATACAGGTACTCTCCTTGGTGCTGGAAATATAACACCCCATAAAAAGTATAAAGATGCCATTTTAGGTGCCCAATGCTATCCCTTTTTTATTAGCTGTCATCTCTGTCTTCACAACTGAGAATCCGTTAGTTGCAACCTTTAAAACTTATAGACCGCCCATGTCCCATCACAAAGAAGAGCCATTTTCCTGAATCCCAGCCCACAGTCATTCTTTACTGGCTGGAAATAGGAGTAACATGCAGTTCACTTATGTAATTCTAGTCATGATGACGTTCCCCAAATGGCATAGTACAGCCAGGCATTTTTTTTTTTTTAACAAGGACTAGCGATTGCAAATGAAATTCCTACAGCATCAAAGGGGTGGAGAAAAGCCATCAAAGGGGTGGAGAAAAGCCAGGCAGCAAAATCTGGGTTTAAAACTCGAGTTAGGGAAGAAAAACCACCACAAACCTACTCACTTCCCCCAATCCCACCCCACGGTTCTTGAAAGTGTGACTTTCCCCTCCCTTGTATTCTTACAGGAGATTCACTTCCCTGCAGCATAGGATGCTCTTCCCTAAAACTTGCGGTAAGTAAACAACTGGAGCTTACTCAACAGAGGGCTGTTCTGGGCGTCCCCCGCCCGCGGTGACAGCCCCCGCGAAGGGTCGCGGAGGATGGGGAGACCACCTGGAGCCGGGCGCGCACCTGACTCAGCCACAGGGATGCTGCTGCACCCGGCTGGAGTGCGGCAACTTGGGACGGGCTTCCTCGCTGAGACTTGGAAATGACAGTCCTGCCTGGGTGGGTTCCCACAAACTTGCGCAGCCCGGTTTCAGCGGCGCGGGCCTTGCACCCCCTCCCCGCGCGCGATGGTTCTCCCGGGCTACGCCGCACAGCCAGGGCCACCTGCCGCTGTCCCCGCCGGGATGGGACCCTCCCCGCTGCGAGGACACCCACCGCAGGACCAGCCGCCACCCCCCAGCCGGTATCCTCCAGCTGCGCACCACTCACCTGCGACCCCCGCGGCACCACCGCAAGATCGCCCCTAAGGGTGGCAGAAGAGATGCTTCATAGATTCCCCGCCCACCAACTTCTCCCTCCTTCCATTGGCTTAAATGGCTGCCTCTCACTTGGTGCGACTCAGCCATTGGTCCAGGAGGTATTGCCATTCTGGGTGAGAGCCCGCCCCAGGCCAGTCCTCACAATGGGAATCAAGTCCCAAACCGGTTCCGGGTTAGTGCTCCCACTCTGCCGCTCAATCTTTGGTGAGCGGCTCTGTCAGTCAAGTGGGCTCTAGGACACGATTGGTCCCTAGCGATCGGCTTGCCGCGCTGTTCCGCCTAATTGGGGCACTAGCCGCTCCATCTCCAAACTCTACTTTTGTTCTTGATGCTGGACTTGTTAAAAGGGCAAAAAGGAATGGAGAACCTGTGCCTGTCCAGCTGGGTTCCTAGGCCGGCGTCATCTACTCAATCTAAAGGAAACCTTTCCTTTCTCTCTGGTTTAACCTAACCTTTACTTCCCAGTAGTTTCTCTAATGTAGGTTTTTCTAGGTAAAACAGGATGACAGTAAATTTAAGTTCATATAAATAACATCATTTTAGGTTGTGAAATTTGTCCCATGCAATATTTGCCATCCTGTATTTTTATTTGTTATTACCTAGCAACTCTGCTGAAAGTGATTTCCATCACAGTCTGCACCTATCCTTTGACAGATTCTTTCTTTGCCTAACTCAGTGCCTAGGAAGAAGCCAGTGAAAGAGTATTTGGCAAAATAAGTGAGAGAATATTCTGGATGAATGGATGAACCATTGTTGGGCATTCTTGGAAGAACTCTTGTATAAATTAAGGGAATGCTTATGAACTATGGTCTATAAAATGTTAATGATCATTTTAAACTTACGACTTTGTCAAGAGCACATTTATTACTTTGGCTAAGTAGAACAAAAGAACACTGGCTGTTTTTGGAAAAATACAGAAACTTGGCTTTTGTTTCATTAAGATAGGGTCTTGCTGTGTTTGGCTTATTTTACTTAGTACTATACCTTTCAGATTCATCCATATTGTTTGTAATTTGCAGAATTCCTTATTTTTATGGCTGAATAATATTTCATTGTGTATACATATTCCACAGTACTTTATGCATTCATCTATAGATGAGCACTGAGGTTTTGTTCATCTTTGTTTTGTGCATAATGTAGCTTTTTCCTTGACATACTGATTTCATTTACTTTGGATATATACCAACAAGTGGCAAATTACTGAACTGTTGAATTGTATAGTAGTTTAGTTTTAATGTTTTTGAGGAAACTCCATATTGTTTTCCATAATGGGATGCACCAATTTGTATTCCCTTCAACAGTATTCAGGATTTTTTTCCTTCACATCCTTACCAACACTAATCTTTTGGGATTTTTTTTTGATAGTAGCCTTCTTAATAAGTATGAAGTAATATCTCATTGATTTGATTTTGCAGTTCCCTGATGATTAACTAAGTAGAGCATTTTTTTCATGTACTTATAGGCCATTTTTCTGTCTCTTTCAAAGAAATGTTTGTTTAGGTACACTGCCCATTTAAAAAAATGATTTTTATTTTTGCTGTTGAGTTGTATGAGATCTTTATGCATTTTGGATAATAATCCATTTTCATGTACTTGGTTTGCAAATACTTTCTCTGATTCTATAGGACATTTTTTTTTGTTTGTTGGTTTCCTATGCTGTGCAGAACCCTTTTTTAGTTCATGCAGTCCTGCTTCTTTTTGCTATCTGTATTTTCCAATGGTTTTATTTAGAAAATCACTGCTAACATCAACTGCAAGGAGATTTTCCCTTTATGTTTTCATCTGAGAGTTTTTTAGTTTTGGGTTTATATTTAAGTCTTTAATCCATTTTGAATTAATTTTTGCATTATGGTGGAGTGTTAGGGTTCCACTTCATTTCTTTAGCATGTGTTGTACGTAATGCAGCTGTCTCCTGGAGATACTGGTTTCATTTACTTTGGATATATACCACATTCTTTAGTGGTGTTTTCAAACACCACTTATTAAAAGAAAGTGGCCTTTCCCTATTGTGCATTCTTGTACCCTTATCAAAGATCCATTGACTGGGTATGAGTGGAGTGATTTCTTAGACCTCTGCTCTGTTCCATAGGTTTGATATGTGTTTTTATGCCAGACCTATGCTATTTTGATTACTGTATTTTTATCATATAGTTTGGTATCAGAAAGCATGATGGCTCCAACTTTGTTCTTAAAGATTTTTGAGTCTGTGTTCACTACCTCACTGCCTGTAATCCTGTGTTCTTGGAAGCATAGGTAGGAGGATTGCTGTTCAAGGCCAGCCTGGGCAAAAAGTATTATCAAGATGATATCTCAAAGAACAAACCAGGATGGTAGTCATATCTGTAATCCAAGCTACAAGAACTAGAAGTAGGAGATCATGATCTGAGGCCAGGCCCAGGCAAAATCATAAGACCCGTCTGAAAAAATAACTAAAAGAAAAAGGGCTGAGGGTATGGTTCAAGTGAAAGGGTACTTTGCAGAGCAATGTGAATGCAGAAGGGTCTGAGTTCAAAACCCCAGTACCTCCAAAAAGCAAAAAAAAGATTGCTTTCACTACCTGTTTTTATAATATAGCTAATAAAAATTTAAACGTACACATCTTACTTTACATTTCAATTGTATAATACAATTTCTAGACTGCCTAGCTACAGCTTATTAAAAGTATTATAAGGGGTACATAATAGTCAAACTAAAATACTTCTTTTCATTGCTACTATTTAACCAAAGGGATAGAAAAAAAACTACCCTGCCCCTCTTTCTTCAAATGTAGCTTAGTTAGGAAAAAGTAACCAGGTAAACACATCTGTATCTGTACACTTAATGTATCATGCTTTTCCCAATCTCTGCTTCTTGCCTTTGCCAAATGCTATTGGTGCTTCCTGCAAGGTCCTGCTTCCTTTTTTACTTGTCCATGCACCATTACTCTTGCTTCTGTAAATCTTCTCTCTTCCCTGACAACAGATCAACTTTCATTTTTCAAAAAAATTTTCAGTCTTACTCATATTCTGTTTACATATTCATACTGTACCTTTTACCCTTTTATCTCTGGCACTTAACAAAAGCCCAGTTGGCCCACATGTTGACAAAACATATTTACTAAAATTGAACTGAACATTAGAAAAGATAACAGCTCCCTTGTTTTGTCCTATGTAATATTCCACCAAATTGTTTATAATTTTCATACCCATCAGGGAAATTATAGTAATTTGTTTTTAGTTCATTTTCTGTTGCTATAACACAACACAAGAACTGAATAATATACAAAAGAGACATTTATTTCTGGAAGAGGAATTTAAGATTAAAGGGCCATATCTGGTGGGGCTTTTTTGATAGAGAGCACTCTGCATAAGGCATCACATGGTGAAAGGGTACATAAGGATAGAGTCAATTGGGCTTTTATTGACAGGCCCACTGTCAAGTTAAAAACTATTAACCATGAACCCACTAATCCATTAACCTGTGAATTAATCTTAATTTACCTTTTTAAAGGGTCAAAAATGATTCTCACCTCTTAATTCCTACAATGGGAATTAAATTCTCAGCATGAGGTTTGGTAAAGACATTTAAAACACAGCTGTTTGTAAAAGGACCACTGAAAGCTTTTCAACAGTGAATCTCCTGATTCTAAAAAGAATTTACATGAATGGAAAACCACTATGGTTCCATAGAATCATTGCAAGTTTTTCCTTTATATTTTGTTTCCATATGACTAGGAAAGATAAGGGACATGTTAGGATGTCAGCTACTTAGTTTAGAGATAACAGATATTTTTAAGTCTCAGACATCAACTCTTGAGAAGTCAACTGGTTCCTAGAGTTCCAATCAGGATAAACTCTGGTTAGACAGTCATCATTGTTTAAATGGGCAATTGAACAAACTTTGGCTCCATAGGTTAAGCTATCAAACCAGTCCATGAAAAGACAGGACAGTGGTGATTAGCGAGAATCATTAGCAATCTTTTTGTTTTAAAAATAGTCATGTCTTCATTCAGTACACCTATACGTGGGATTGCTCATGGAAGAAGCAGATCAACTACCAATCTATGCAAGCAAATTGGAATGTGTCCTAGTGGAGTTCATTTTTCAAAAGTCACTTTTGGCATATATTGCATTATGGTATATCTTCCCTGTTTGGACAGTTGAGGCTTCTTGTTGAACAATTTCTGTAGCTCCTGGATGATCACCTGTTTCTTTTTGAATTCCCTACAGAATGATTCTTATTTATGCAAAATAGTCTGTTTTTAAATAGCCTGCTTTAAACCACCTCATCCCAAATACATTCTGAATATTTACTGAAAACTCATCCCAAATACATTCTGAATTTTAGTGAAAACTGATCCAGCTCTTTTTGCATGACATATCAATAGAAAACACAGATGTAAATTTCATTTTAGTAGTAAAAGTTAAAACCTGCTGTTTTCTCAATTTAAGAAAATTACTGTGAATTTTTTGTAACTTTTTTCTATTTATGTGGATGTAGTCTTGATTTTGTTTTGTAGGAATTTCACAGATTTTTGAAGTAGAAATCTCTTCTTTCACTGACCTGTTCTAATCTTCAACTCATTTAACAATAATTATTGAATACTACTCTGTTGCAAAACACTGATCTAAAGACTATATAGATACATGCTATATACATATGTATGTATATTAAATATATATTATATTGATTATAACAACAGCCCTGTGTGGGCACAAGTATTCTTCACATTCTTTGTAGATGACAAACTGAAGCACACACTACAACATTAGTAAGTGACAGAGCTGGAATTTAAGCTGAGATCATTGGCACACTGAAACCTCGTGTGTACCATCACTCAAAATGGATGTGATTGTACCTGCAAGGAGATTGCTTAAAGGTGGCCAAAAAGACTTGAAAGGTCTTCCTAAAGTAGGAAGATAATAAAATTCCTCCCACGATCCACCATCTTTTTCCCTAACATTTCTTGGGCTGTGTTTAATAGCTC